TTGTGGGGAGTGGTGTTTGTTTTTTAGTTTGTTTGGTTTTATTTTAGGTGACCTTGAGGTAAAGGGCAAAAACACACTTCCCTTTCATTTACAGAGGGCTGGTTTTCCGTTACTCCCGAAAAAATAGCCGAGCACATCGCCGCCCGCGTCAGTCAGTCCTTCAACTGCGACATCATCGTGGATGCCTTCTGCGGGGTTGGAGGAAATGCTATTCAGTTTGCACTGACCTCAAAAAGAGGTAAGCAGGTGTGGTTATATAGCACCATAGTTTGCTTCTTTGATCTTTTTCCCTAAAGAGTTAGGTGTGGACTTTGTTCACTGATTATTTCTCTTTTAATTTATTTTTTTGTGCTTCTGACATGACTGAAGCTTTTTTGCTTCATCAGACTCACAGTATGAGCTTTCTGCTTTTACAAAGGACCTGTAAAACTGCTTTTCTGTTTTAAGTCAGAGTTGAATTTGTGTTGTACAAGTCAAAAGTTATTTTTACATGGCACAGTAGCTAGTCTTTTAGATGTTATGAAGATTGCTGCTAAGGAAAGACTGAGTTCTGTTTGCAGTGCCAGACTGCAGAGATGCCACAAAGCTGCTGCTTTTCCCCTTTCTTACATGAAGTCTGTGTATGCAAAAGCAGGTTACATGTGAATAGCACTTCAAAAACTTGAATGGGATCACCTACAGATGCAGCAGAACCAAATGCAGAAAATGGATGGTAACTTCATGTTAGTCTACGTTCCTGTTGCCAGCTGATGATGCTGCCATGAATCATGATAGTGCTCTCTGTAAAAACATTGACTACTTGATATTCCTTTACTTTTCAAACACTGGTAAAATACCAGCTCATCTAATGCTTCTGGGTAATGTCTGACTAAGACAAGTGGTAGTTTCTGCTGCATTAAACTTGGTAGGCTATGATCCGTTCTATAAATATTTTCTAAATTTCACTTAGCTTTCTGTATTTCATGGCTAATTTTTTATGATTATGTACCGTCCTTGTCCTTACCTCTCTTGTGCTGTGTTGGATGTATTTTTAAAGTCAGTTTTCAGTGTGATCCGCCAGAGATAAACATTAATCTTTAACAAAGGAGAAGGGTAAGTATCTAACTGACACTGTTTAAGCTGTCAGGCTCCCACCATGCTTGAAGCAAGGAGGACTTGCTGTCTTAGGCAGAGAGCCTTACCTCGCTACTTGAGCTGAGATGGGGGTTTGTCATGGTAGTAGGTGTATGGCTCCCAAAAGCTAAAGTTTCCCAGCTCTGCAAAATCAGCAGAGCCTTGGCTGTGTGGCTTCCTTTGCTGGTATGTAAACGCAGGGGTTCTGCTTTTGGTAGAGCCTCTGCACCTGCCACCCAAGGGCAGGTCCTTCCCTGCTGAGGAACTGTAGCTTCAAGTCTACCATGACCTACAAAACTGAAGTCACTGTTTACCGCACAATGGTAGATTATAGATGTGACTTGTGGCTGCAGAAGAACGCCTTCACTCTGAAATGTCAGTTGGTGATCAGGTGGCATTCACAGTTCATGTTAACCTGTGTGTTTGCTCTTCTCTCTCATCTGCAGTGATCGCTATCGATATTGATCCTGAGAAGCTCAGTCTTGCGCGAAACAACGCCGAGGTGTACGGCGTGGTGGATCAGATAGAGTTCGTGTGTGGAGACTTCATGGTGCTGGCTGCTGACCTGAAGGCAGATGTTGTGTTCCTCAGCCCACCTTGGGGGGGGCCTGACTATGCCACTGCCGAAATCTTCGATATCCAGACCATGATTTGCCCAGATGGATATCCTTTCAAAGCTACGCATCATGTTTTTCAGTCATTTACAAGCTCTTTTCTCTGTTTCTTTTCCTCCTTCTCTTGATATGGGCCTTGTGTGTCCAGTTGTCTGCCTGTGGAGCTGAAGTCCCAGATGTGCCACATCTATCTTGTCCCTTTCCCCCTCTGTCAGCTATATGACTTCGACCACCTACAATTAATATTTTATTACAATCTTTCATTTTTTAAAAAACTATCATAAGAGTTATTCTTAAAAGAAAAAAATCCTTTAGAGAATTTTAATTTAAAATAACTTAAGATGCTTAACTTAAAACATTAATTCAGCAGTTTTAGGTCCTCTGTATTATTTTATTTTAAAAACCTGAAGTAATCCAATAGCCACGTGGTGTGTATATATAGGCAATTATTAGCTACATGATCTACGATTTTGTAATTATTTCCACTTTTTAATCCATTCATAGAAGGTGTATTTAATTAAAAGTGTCTTACTGAAACTTCTCAATCATAGCACCTGCCTAGGACTTGGGAAATCACAGAAGAACCAGCAAAAATATTAACCCTTTTAATTAGATGTATAAAGTTCCATACTAACTTTTTAACAGTGATAGTGAACACACATTAACCTGGAAAGGTGTTAACATAATAGTTTCATCAAATGTGAAAGTTTGGTGGGGTGTTTTTTTCCCCAAAATAGTCCCAGTTGTTTCCCTTTTGGGTAAAAGGTTGCCATATTTGTAAGAGTAAAGAAATCTTTGCATGCATGTGTGAAAGAGGTTTCACAAAATGTGTTAGAAATTGACTATCAAATCAATGTGCTGGCTTTAAACTGTATTCAGATTTCTCAAATACTTCTCTGCAGTTCAGTTACATTTTCTAAAAAAATTACTATAATTTCTGAGGAAATAATTGTGAAATAAAGAGTTTCCACACTTAGACAGTACTAATTGCTGCATTTCAGAGCAGTATCTAACTCACATAACCAGAACACTAACTAGAATTTAATTGCATAATAATTTCATTTTAAGATATGTTTTCAAAACTAATTATTGTAAAGCAACTTCATTCTCCCCATTTCTGTTTTTTCCTTTACTGGCTTCTACATTTGAAATTTTCAGGCTCTCCAAGAAGATCACCAACAATATTGTGTATTTTCTGCCTCGGAATGCTGACATTGACCAGGTGTGTTAGTGGAAAAGGGCTTGGTAATTACAAAAAGCTCAGCTGGCCTGAAATATATGTATGATAAGCACAAACTTTAGACTTTTAAGTCTGTTCTGCTGAATGTGGAGGGGTCTTCTGTTTGGGTTTTTTTTGGTACATTTGAAAATTATATTAAATTATTTCTGTGTCTCCTGCACATATGTTTAGAATGGGAGTAGTAGATTATTTCCATTATTTTGATACTATTCTTTCATGAAGCAACAGATTGGAGGTTCTTACAAAAGATCCAAGGCCAGTAGATTTCTTGAGTGCCAGAAAGATACTTCGTTATAAATGAAAAAAAAATTAACCAGCTCTTACCCTCTCATAAGTTTCTGAAACCTGAACTGTAATACCTTTCAGTTTGTGAAGCAGTTGCAGGAAACCACTGCACAGCCTGCAGTCACTACTATCACTGATGAGTAGATCAGAGACAAATGTCATGCCAGCAGAGGTGGCACTGATGCTGTCCATGCAAGTGTGTGGTTCCATAAGGGCTGCTTGCATTGCAGTGATCAGATAGATGCATCACTTGACTTGATGAACACACAATTTGTTTCACTGGTGTGGGGTTTTCTGAATTAGAGATTTTTGTTAGATTTTTTTAAGTAATCAGATGACTGTAGCAATTCCCCTGAGTGTCTGGTTTAGGTTCCTCTGTATATTTTCTATGTTAATTACATCCTGCAGATTTTTTGAAAAGAAGGAAGCTGTGAGACGTTCTTGCTCACCTGCATCGTGCCACAGAAGTTCCCAGGATTATTCTGTGGTTTTCCAGAGTAGGCAAGGTCTCAAGCCACATCTGGTCTGCAGAATTGTTTGTAACAAACAACTGACTTCAGGAACAGGCTGCAGTTCTCGTGCACGCTATGAGCCTGTGCTATACTCTGCACAGCACTGTGTGTACAGCAGGTGATGATTCAGTTGCATCTTGCATTTCAGGTTTGTGAAGTATTGAACTGGCTTATGAGTCTTTGAACCTGAATTTGAGACAGAGTTTCTTAAGTTTCAACTTCTAACCACTGCATTTTATCAAAAGTTCTGTTCCCACAATGAAGAACGACCTGACCAGATGCCTGCTCGTGCACACTTGTTACTGGATTTGCAAATGGGCAGAGGCATCTGTATTTCACTTATGTTCCCACAAAGGTATCTAAGATAGCTGTCCAGAGCACTGCATCTATTCCTACTGAAGAGCTCAGCACTTCTACACTGTTGGGTTAGGCATCTTGCCACCTCCACATCCTGGTCCGATTTGCTCTAATGTTGTTGGCATGCTCTGAGCGTTCCTCGGTGTTCATTCACGGGTTTGCCTTTGCACGAATGGCTGAAGAGTAACTACTGTTGCTCAAAAACATGGCTTTGTGGTCACAGCTGAGTTGTTCAAAGCACATGGCTGATGGACTGGGTTCAGTTCAGTCATCCAGGCTAAGAGAAATCAGCTCCTTATGCCTTTCTCTAGGGATTGTGCTACTGTAAGAAAAAAGAACTAAAGGCTGATGATCTGAGAGCAGGGGAAGAGAACGTGACTCTAGCCTGCTGATCCTAAAAATACAGTAGAAAATTGATGCTGGATTTTCAGAGGGGTGCAATAGCTAGGTGATGTAGTGTGATGCATTATCAGATGTAATACATGAATGAGGAAACAGTTAGGGAAATGTGCATGGACAGAGGAGGGTTGACCATGATCATCCCAAACATGACCTTTGTGGGTATTCTGGTCCATAGGAGACTAGTTATGGATTTGGCAGCCCATCATCCCTGGCTGTATTGAAAAATGAGCTTTCTGAATTTACTGTCACTAAACTTCTAGGGCTGTGAGTCTGCAGAGAAACAGAGGTTTATCATTGAGGTTCCTTAATGTTTAGTGTGGACAGTTACCTTCTCAGTGTGCTCACAGTTTTTGCCCCCAGTTGTGATACATCTTACTTTTCTCATAGACCAGATAGGGTGGCTTCTGCCCTGACAACTGCCTTGGTAAGTGTCTGTGGACACCACTTCTAGTGTGTACTGATGTATCTCTTCTTGTGAACATAGTCTCTAAGCTCTCGGGAGCTGTAAAAGCTTGATTAAGTAAATGGTAAACATTTTTTGCAGTAGTTTAATATTTGAAAAAAGAGTAACTTAGGTGAGACAGTATTTGTTGAACAGGTTATCTGATGCCTTAGGTTTGAAGCTTAGGTCTTTAAGTTTGATTTGTAGTAACATTGCTCAGATGTGTAAGATTTGCTTCTTCTGTGTCCTACAAAAAAAAGTAACTGTATGTAAAGCTTTCAGAGATGGCTTAGCTCCTGGAATAAGTGATCTAACATGCTTAATATGTAAAGTGGCAGTTGTTAAAACTTAAGTATTCTGCCTCTTGCCTATCATTGACTGGCTTGAATCTACATCCAAGGTGTGCTTGTGAGCTTTGTTAATTAAAATTGATCTAGAAGCTGCCTTAACTGCCATTTCCAACCTCCTGATGTTTATACTGACTGGAAGCCAGTGCATCAGTGCAAGTTTTGCTTGCCTGACTGGAGCTCAAGCACAAACGGAAATAAATGCTCAGCAGTTAGAAGCAACCTTACAATAAAAATACTGTTTAACCTTTAGTTGAGGTGCTGCAGATTTAGTAGAAAACACGTGCTGCTTTTTACAGTTAGATGGCTACCATGGAATACCTGCTACTCTCGTGAAAGCAGGTGGTAGCTGTCCTTCACCTAGCTGTGTTGCTGGAGGACTCGGTGTTCATTGCCTTATTGGTAGACAAGCCATCTAACCTTGTTCCACCTGATTTTATTGCAAAAGCAGTGCTTCTTGTGTCTGCAGTCATGGCCTTTATTGTGCCTTTATTGTGCACGAGTTGGTCTTGTGGAGAGAGGAGCGGCTCTCGGGCTGAATTCCCTTACAAAATTCAGAGTTTAGGTGGAAGAGGAGAAATGAACTTGTGTACTTCTGCCTCCAGAGGGAGCAGCGAACCAGTGGAACGTGGTTGGTGCATTTACAAGAAATGTGAAACTTTTCCCTTAATTGCATCAAATCATCTTGTCTACAAAGTTTGTAATGTATGTGGGTCCATTTTTAGGTCAAATCAATATTCCAAATATGTTATATCTAGTTGAGGAATAACCAGGATCCATTTTTTATATGTATGTGGGGAGAATACATAAAAATATATAGCTTTATTAATAGTTCCTTTTATACAGCTCATATGTGTAACACCCTTGTTGATACTCACCTCTGCTGCATCTTTGCATCTGAGTCTTTTAAGTTTTTTTCATATATCTCAAGAAAAAAAAAGTATTTAAAAAAGAAGGGGAGTTATGGAAACTACGTGTCAGAAGTACATTAATACTGCTTCAGCTCTGGAGGGCTTAACTTATATTTGGCTGCCAGTGATGTTTTTAAAAATCAACCCAAAAAGTTTGACTTATGTAGAATTCCCACAAAGTAGGAAAGAATTAGAAATCAGCGTTTCAGTGATTGCTTGCATGTTTAAATCAAAACTATGCCCCAGCAAAATGAAGTGAAAACACTTGATAAATACTTGTGTAGTTGAAAGCTGTTCTTGCCATCTATAAGGAGAATTAATTGCAGTAATTTAAGCTGATATTATTTCAAATATATTTTTTAAAGAGAGAATATTCATGCCTTGGCAAAATTTGGATGAAAATACATTTCTTCCCCCCTTGCCCTGCTGCTGATTGACTCTACTACCAGCAGGGAACCTGCAGTCAGGGGATGCTCAACTTTCCCCATTATCCTTCCCCCTTCTTTGCTGGTTCAGTTCCACCAGACCAAGGGGAAGAAAGGTGATGTCTGCAGGACATTAAGACTTACATTTAGGTTTTAATACTCCAGCAAAATGTAACCAAGACCTCCACAAGTGACTTGAGAAGCAAACTTGTTGAGACAAAGTGATTACATGCTGTCTATGAATTTGTTTTCTGCCTCACTGTGCAGAGAGGAAAGTGTGTGCTCACCCTGGGGAGAGTAGACCAGGATCTTGGGTTAATTTTATTGTATTTTTAAGAGGCTTAGGTATTACAGATGTTGGCAGGTAAAAGACACCGGGTTGATGATTTCTGCAAGCTGATAGTTTTTAAGTGAACACTTCAGCTGTAACTATCATGTTAATCATAGAACGGTTTGGGTTGGAAGGGACCTTAAAGATCATCTAGTCCCAACCCCCCTGCATGGGCAAAGACACCTCCCAATACATCAGGCTGCTCAGAGCCCCATCCAGTCTGGCCTTGAACACTTCCAGGGATAGAGCTTCCAGCAGCTTTTAAGCAGCCCACTTTAAAGTCGTGTATGTTCCCTATCTTTGATGAAAGATGAAGCCAGAATATATCCCTAGCACACACCAAACCAGAGCAGCTCTTCTGGACTTCAGTTTTCCTGAAGTTCACAGTGCTTGAATACTAAATTTTAGTTTGCCTGCCTCAAGTTTAAAAAAAAAACCAAAAAACTCCAACCTGTCAAAGGGTGGCAGCACCACAATTCAATTGCAGACCTGTACATTTTTTTTAAATGTTGCCTGAGAGCATTTTGTTTTATTACAATTGATGCAAAAAATGCTGTTGTCATTTTTTTCAAGTGAGTTGGGATTATTTTTTTTCCCTAGCCTTTGGATTGGGGGTTTTTTCCCCACATTTTTACTGGTGTTGTGTAAAATGAAATGAGTCACAGTGTCCTTGTGTGACTGGTTATTAAGGCAAAAAGCTCAGAAGAGTTTTTGTTAAGGAAAAAATAATATTAGAGCTTTTTGTCTTCAGTAAACTTAGTTGGTGAATGGAACAGATAGGAAGTAACTTTTGCAAAGGAATTCCAGTATGATAAAAAAAACCACTTTGAGTTTAAAAGTACACCTGGAGGATACAAAGCAAGTTTGCACCTTAGCAAATTTAACGTTCATTTCTCTATTTTTAATTCTCTTCTCATGTCCCCTATTTTAAACTTTGAGACCAAACCTGCTGTCTGCATTTTCATGCTCTGTAGCTGCATCTGTAGCTGTGAATTAGTTCCATCAGCAGTCACTGAACTTTATGATGAAGCATTTAGGTGAGAAGGATGCAGGGAGGCATTAACTGGAGCTGTATCATTCACCTCATTCCGGGGAGGCATGTGGCACGTGCAGAATTAGCCAGCAAAGGAGGCAGTATCTGCCCCCTTGGGCTAAAGAACAAACCAGGCTGACAAGAGTTACTAGCCAGGGATTCATTGTATTTGCATAGAAAAATGCAAAATAAACACATTTTGGACTAGTTAAGTTTTTGAAATACATTAAGAAGCCTTTCAATGGTCACCATTGTAGTTCACTGCAAAAACAGGAGATGAGTGTCAGTATTTAGGTGACGTATTAGGTATCAGTATTAGGTGAGCACCTTTACTTTTCTCAAAGCACCGTTCCTCAATCTGCTGTTATTTTTACAGGGCATCCCTCCACCTTTCTGGAGCTTGGTGTGCATCAGCTTTCCCTTGTTATGCTGTCAGGGTTGACTGAGCTCTTCTGAGGAAATCTTGGCAGCTCCTACATAATTAAATGTGCAACCTCCAGCATTTTACAAATAAGCATTGTCATAGAGGATTTGTGGTTCCCTTCTCTGAGTATTCAGGGGGTTGAGGAGCCTGCAGTGCTGGATCCGTCCCTGCAGAGCTTACACCTGTGTGCTCAGTAGATTTTTGTCACTGTTGGATTTATAAACACTTCTAGTAGTAATTTTAAATTCATATTACTTGTCTTGGATTTAACACTCAGAGATTAGACACAGCGTGCATAACTTCTCAGGTGTCCTTCAGTGGATGCCACCCCTCAGCAGATGAGCAGCATTTACATGTGTACTGATGAAGTATTTTGGTTTACTTGGTCTTCTAAGACAAATATTTAGTATACACTTGTGTCTAAAGTCAGTGTGTTAGTCATACTTAGAGATGCTAGTGACACAAATTGTGCCCTGAAAGCAGGAGTATATAACCCTGAGGCAGTAATTTCAGTATTCTTGAAAGTTGATGAATCCATTTAATATTTTAGAACATTAGCTGTAAAGTACAAAGCCTTCTGTGCTTTTTGGAAGAGACATTCCAGCTTTTGTTTGTAATAAATTAAAAGTGCAAAATCAACATCTTGCTGGAAAAAAAATACGAGTCACCCCACGACCTTAGCTGCTTTTAGGATTTCAAGTAAGAAAAGATAAGTTGTAAAATTAACATGCCTGATCTTTTGCCAATTTCAGACTCTTGTGCTATTTATAAGTCAGCCAGCTTCTGCTTTTTTACTTAAGTGGCAGGTTCCTCTTTGACAAGAACGTGGAGATTTTTTTCCTATTACCGTTAAAGTGAAGGAGAAACTACTCACACTTCTGTTTTTTTTTCTGCAGAAACAAAAACAAAACAAAACAGAAAAAAAAAAGCAACCATAAAAGTGAATTCTTGCTTTAGACAAGGCTGGTAATTTTCTGAGCAAGTCAATAAAGGTTCAAAGTGTAATTTGGATTAATCTGTTATTTCCTCTTGATAGCAGGCTGTTTTTTTACTTACAGTAGAACAGAGGAAGTTCACCATGTTTATAGTTAAACCTGCCCTACAGAGTCACGTCTCAAAGGAGTTCAAAAGTGTTAATAATGCAACATGAACTTTTACGTTTCAGCTGCTACTATCACAGATTTCTCGGTTTAAAGATCAGTTAAAATCTACTGCAGGCTTGTAGAACTTGATCCCTTTGTCTGCTAGGGAAGTTTCCCTCTGTGGGGAGCTATACAAATAGTTTCCGTGCAGGAGGCAGGAAAAAGTGCAGCACGGAGCAGAACTGGCTGTAGAGCAGAGACCCCAGCCACAGCACAGATCCTTGGGGTCCATGATGGGGGTTAAAAAAATCAGTGAACACTCAGTTTTGGTGTTCTTATCTTCCTTCTCTCTGTGCAGTCTGCCCAGGTAAGAAATCTGTAGCCTTGTATGGCTGCTCTCCCTCCCAGAGGGTAGTACTAGGTATCACAAGTAGGAGAGGAGAGTGTGACGTGCTCCAGTCCAAACTGCAAAGTCCACTGCTGCAAAGCATTGCTGTCTGTAATCATGAAGCTTTAAAGGTGTTCACTGGGCTCGGTCAGCAGAGCATGAACAGTGAAATTCTCACTCCAGTGATTGTAAACATGAGAGCTGGGACCAGTGCTGCCTGACGGGCTTTCCCTGCCTGCAGTTCCTCAGCTGCCAGCAGCCTTGCCCTGCCTGGGACTCCAGTGCACACAACAGCATTTATTTTTGTTACAATAGCAAGCACAAATGAACTGTAACTGTTTTTTTGAACTTCTCTGACTGGGTTTTGGATTCCTCTCCCACCCCCCCCTTCAGTGCAACTTTTATGCTTCCTAATTTCAGGATTTGGTTTTACTCTTGGCCCCAAACTTGGGCTTCTGATACCTAGCACTCACCGTTTGCAGCTTGCTTTTCCCACAGCTGGGTGTCTCAAATGCCAAGTGCCCTGCAAATTAGAGTCCAGCATCTAGACTAGAGGGGGATTTTTCAGTCACAAGGAAGCCACAAACCACTTCTGTGAGTAAAAGGAAACAGTGAACCAAAGGCATTAGTTACCAAGGAACATTGTCACCAGTATTAACGGAGCCAAAGATGTGGTTTATGTGATATTCCATGTGAATAGAAGGTTTGAGTTTTGCCTCTTGTTCTGTGCATTGAGTGATTTGGGTTTTGTTCTTTTGTTTTTCAGGTGGCTTCCTTAGCAGGGCCAGGAGGGAAAGTTGAAATAGAACAAAATTTTCTCAATAACAAACTGAAGACAATAACAGCTTACTTTGGTGATCTAATAAGGCATGACATCTGAATTCAGTGTGGATTCGTCCAAGCTCAGCCTCCCTGACTGCTGCTTTGCATAAGCTTTTGTACAGCTGGCTGGTCAAAAATGACTTAAAGCCATTTTCCACTTTAATTTCTGTTTACAGAAATTTGTTCTGTTTATTGCTACTGTCAATAAATATTTTATAATAATTTTGACAACATTGCAAGCATAGAGGAGCTGTGAATGTAGAAAAAAAAAGATCCTTATCAAATGCAGTCCTGCAAGGTTCAAGTCCAACCAGTTGATGGGGACTTTAGGATTTCTTTGCAACCTTCACATGTTACTTCTCTATTTGCTCTGGTTTGTCTCACTAACAAAAATATGTCCCCCCTCTTTTGAGGCCCAAGGATCCAAAGGATCCTTGCACAGGCTTCAGGGAGGGCAGCAGGAGCCCAGCTTTCCCTGCTGAGGGCTCTCTATTCACACGTTGGTCTTTTTGAGGGAAGAGAGGCTTTTGGAGGCTTCTCGAGGCAGATGAGGATATGGTGCTCTCACTGAAAGGCATTTGCAGTAAGTACCAAGATTTTGAGTCTGTTTTTGAGGTAAGAGTGTAGTTATAGTTTCTAAGGCAATAAATGAGTGTAGCTTCACTGCTTGGAGTGCAGCAGGATGCTGAGGACAGCAGTGACCAAGCACTAAACCATGCATTAGTGCTAACAAACAGAACTATAGAATCACAGTGTAAAATCTTCCAAATAAGAGGATTTTTTTTACCTCATAAGGAGTGAAATCCAACTCTTCAGTTGGGAGACTGAAGTGTTTGTGTGTGTATGGGACGTTAAAAAACACAAATGCAACCTACCTTGGTGCAGATTCACAATGCAGTAAAACAGCATTTGAGACATAGGGGTTTTTTTAACTTTACTGTCCATCTGGTACCAGATGAGTGGTAAACTGTTGATGACAGATCCTTGCTTCATATAAGGTATTTTACTTTGGAGAGCATTTGACTAATTTGCATCACTGCGTTTTGCCATTGTACTGCAGCAAGTAAGAAGGGCAGTGATAGTGCCAGCCTCTGTGTCAATATTTAAAGGGAATTGGAAAGAAATTATCTGCTCTTCAATATTCCTTAGAAGTTTGCTACTAGGAGGCAAGGGAGCTTGACAAAAGTGCTAGCATTACAGGAGTTTCAAACCTGTGGTAGCAGTGGCATATGAATGTAATGACGCTACATTTTCACTACAAGCTACCAAAAAAATGCAAGAAAAGAGTCATGAGGTCAAATGAAGAATGAATTAATACACTGTGTATATCATAGTACTCTGTACAGTAAAATTTGACTATATGGGGCTTATTGCTGTTGTCTTACTCTTTCATCCTCTTTTCCTCCCCTTAGGAGTAGCTTTAGAAGCATTTTGAGCTTTCACTGATGCTGCTCCTGTAAAAGGAAGCCCTATGTGGGAAAAACCAGGGGAAAATACCAGTGAATTTACTTTGACCTTCAGGAACGTAGCCAGATTTTGTTCAGTGCCCAGTATGCAAAATGTGGAAGTTGAAATATGACTTGCAAAAGTACAAGGTTTATTGTTTTAGTATTTAATTCCAATATAATGAACTTGTTGGTAGAAAGGAATGATTTCTCAAAGGTCTCTCTTCAGCTTTGCAATCACGTGAAACACCAGAAGCAGAAGAATATGCTTGGGCGTGGGTGTTGCTCTCTTTAACCAACAAGTGTAGAAGGTCTTTATTTATTTATTTTTTAATACAACTTGAAGTCAAAATACACTCTACTGGGTTGTGATAAATGTCTGCCCTTAGCTTCCTGCTCAGACAGCACAGGTGAAGTTCCCCAGGGCTGCAAATCAGTCAATCTGTTAAGCCTAAACTACATCTACCAGTATTTCTACTTTGCTGTTAGTAATTTCCTGGGGGACAGCTTCATTCATGAGATGAGTTTCTGTAAAACATGATTCTGCTTTATATTGTAGAAAAAAAACCTAGTATGTCCTGAGTTAAATTTCTGGATATCTCATGCCCAGGGTTTTAATACTCTTTAGGGATTAGAGTCGTATTCTGCATAAAATACATGAGGCTACAAAGAAGTTATGTTGCTACTGTGAAGTAAATCCTTGTAGATATTTGCTCTTTTACCAATTTTAAGCCATAAAATAAGCTGTAGGGA